GCATTTTCTTTAGATTCCTGATTTCCGGTGTGATACGTGAAATTTGCTGATCACAGTAATTTGAAAAGCGCTATAATAACTTAGTCGTACTTGCTGGGTTTCAACCAGTCAGGAACGCTCATAAACTACTGCAGTAATTCATACGTAACTATTTAAAGTTGATATCTAATTTGTATGATGAATAAGATTTACAATAGTTGGCGTAGGGTTGTTAATGGATTGGGTTGAACTCTAGTCTTCAACCTACTCTAACTTGGGTTGGGTGTAGCTGGAAGTAGCTACCTAATAGAGTTCTGATAACATCTAGAACTCAATATTAACAGTTATTAATTTTTGAGATGATGTTTATTTCAATGCCTACTGTATTTTAAAGAATTATTTACACGTTCTTCAATAGCTAGATCTTATAATCTACGTAAGACATGTCTGCAGATATTATATATTATATATATTGAAAATGATATACATAACATTACTGGAGGATTGCCTTCTTGAAATATTCAAAATACCTTCAGGATTATCTATCGTAAAAGCTTATTTTCATGCCTTTTAGTAAATCAACAAGGTGTAGAATTGTTGTACCATTATTGTGGAGTAAACTACATTTAATATTAGTACTTGAAAATAATATTTTTCACACCTCCTCTTGTTCTATAATAGACAATTCTTTTTTTTTTAAAAAAAAAAACCCCCCAAGTTAACAATTATCTGAGCAGTTCATTTTATTTTCTTGCGATTTTATCTTTAATTTGTTTTTTGCTATATGATGTATTTAAAGTTGAAGAAAATTCACATTTATCAGATTTATTGATATGTGTATTATCATTATTAATGTGCTAAAGACAAGTTATAAGTTTTTGTTGATTCTTAAATTTGAGAATGACATAAATTTGACAAAATCCTTGTTTCAGACCCTACTTAATACCACTAAGTGAATAAATATTTGTTAAAGAAGAAATTCAATGAATAATAGATAGTTAACTAATTAAAGTCTTCAACTTATATTAAAGATGTAAGTTTACGGTAACATGTAATTTGTAAGAAATGTGATCATACTATCATATGATTCCCAGTGATTGGTTGGATTATATGCCATCAGTAAACTTTATACGGAGTCTACTGTAATTCGATAATGCTAGCTAAGTTTTTCATAATGCTAGTGGTTTACATCACGTGTAAAATTTACATGTAATCCATTTTATTGAAACTTACGTAAAATTACATGAAATGTAAAATTGAAAAATGTAATTTTAAACCCTAATAAGAACACATAAAAATAGCACTATACATAAATATGTGTGAATAATATTAATATAAACTACTAATAAAGAGTATACTATATCTGATAGTAGAAAAAAGAAATAAAATGGTATGAATGTGTAAAAAAATATTCATATCTGCTTAGAAAAGAAGTACTGGTATGTCAGCTATTGAATCATTTAAGAAACGATAAACATTCAAAGATTGTAACGATCAATAATAAATTTATCCCAATTTTTAAGTTCGGTCTCGTTTGCATATTCGTGATGAACTGGGTATATATCATTGATCATGATTTTATAAGCTCTATGAAGATTCTTTAAATAATTTATTGTGATGTTTGCTTCGGAATTTCTTCCTCTAGATAAGAGTCGTTTTACCATGACACTTTCGGATGTATTTATGTAAAAAACATCAAGAATTCTATTCATATTAAAGTGAATTTCATTTCTTTTTTCTTCAAGGTATTTCAAATATTCTTTGTTTTTAAGTCCAACATTTGCGAAAATATAATCATCTAGATGAGTGCGATCAAGAATGATAAAATCATATAAATCAAAATTAATTTTTTCAAAGATGTTTTTGAACGTATCAAGAACTTTAGATTCTACGAATAGAGTTATTTCTTCGTTGTTTGGATTTTCTTTTAATGTATCGTATTGTAATTTAAGTTCACGGTTTAAAATAAAAGACATATCATGTTCGGGATAATAGATATTTTTATCTTTAAGAAGGGTTTTTAGACGGTCAAGCAAAGTAGTTTTTCCGACTCCTTTAGGACCGGTCATAATTATGATATTTTTTCTGGGTTTTTCGTTCATTATAGACGAAGAGATACCTATTCCTGAGTTATGGAAACTATTTAATCGTCCTAAATCGTAGATATATTTATGAAGAATATATTTGTTATTTTTGATTTGATGTTTCAGGAACAACGTCCGGAGAGGGGACAAGTGGCGTGTTTGATTTAAGAAAAACATTTAAAATATATTTTTTTTACATATAATACTGAAATATAAAAGAATACAGTCTGATATCTTTAAGGGTAAATATTTCCAAAATCAGAGGTCGTTTAACGCTAACGCTAAAGCCATGCTGTATTTCATATTTATCATGTGATTACAATGCTTTAACGCAATACATTCCCATGCACAGCAGTACTGTTAAAAGTCGTAAATGACCTTTGTATATAAAATTGATTAATAAATTTAACGTGAATGACTTGACGAAAATCATTAAAAATTTATAATATTATAATGAACTAAATACAGGAATATGTCTATTACAGTATTACCGATTTTACTCATCATTTAGCCAGTGGTGGCACATGACCAGGTCATAACAGGTCATAAACAGGTTATATCACCAAGGCAAAACTTACGGGGATTGCTACCGACACCAGTGTTGGCCATTTTAGGTCATATCCAACTTTACATGACCAAGGTGGTCATAATGTATTAGTAAATTTTATAAGTCATAACAGGTCATAAGGTCATAACCTATAGTTGGCCAATAGTCATAACAGGTCATAGGCCAACACTGACCGACACCGCCTTATCGCACCGCAAATGACCACGGCCAGCATTATCATTAAGGTTAGGGTTAGAATTAGGTTAGTCATGGCAAAAAAATGTCGAGATCACGCGATCAGCGATTATTTCCGACCGTAATGGGAAAGAGCTCAAAAGATAATCTTATTAACATACGTTAAAGACATGCTTCGAAAAAACATATTAAAATTCTTGTAAAGGTTTGTGTATAGTAATTATACACAAACCTCTTACAAAAATCTTAACATGTTTTTTTGAAGCATGTCTTTAACGTATGTTAATAAGATTATATTTTGAGCTCTTTCCGATTACGGTCGGAAATGATCGCTGATCGCGTGATCTCGACATTTTTTTGCCATGACTAACCCACTTAGCAATTCCCAATTACACAGATGTTACACTAAAATTTTTTTTTTTGATACTGATTATACTTTTAATAAAAATTTCAAGAATTAGAGTGAAGATATCTATTTGTCTTCTATATTTAACATAAAAAAAAAAAAAAAGAAAAAAAAAAAAAGAGTGAAAATATCATGATAATTACCTATCTGCTATTAAAATTTAATAATTTTTTTTTAAATTAATTATAAATATTCCTTGCATCAGAATAAAAAAATTTTTGCCGATTTTGATTATATCTTCGCTCAAAGTTAGTAAATTCAAACCGCCTATCAAAATATAAGCTACGCCAATTTTTTTTTAAGACTTTGAGCGAATATATTTCGACAACCACCTGATCAAATTTGATTGATTTTTTTTTTGTTTGAATTCTATGGATCTCTAAAATTCAAATAAAAAAATTTTTATCGAATTTGGTAAGATGGTTGTGATATCTTCTCTCAAAGTTTAAAAAAATTTAACATAGCTTCTATTTTAATAGACGTTTTGAATTGTTTACTAACTTTGAGCGAAGATATATCAACTACTACCCGATCGAATTTGATAAATTTTTTCTTGTTTGAATTCTATGGATCTGTAGAATTCAAATAAAAAAATTTTCATCGAATTTGGTCGGGTATGCTAAAGTTTGTAGAATTCACTTAAAAAATTTTTATTAAATTTGATAAAGTTTTGTTGAAATATTTTTTGTTTAAAGTTTCAAAAAAATTTACTTAGAAAAAATTTGCTTGATTTATATTTACTTAACCCTATATATAAACTCAAAATTCAGCATTATGATGTGATTAGATGTCCTGCATCATATATTATTCAATTATACGTGATGGAATAATTAAAATTCTAATTATTCTAATTATTCTATATTTAGCCCAAGAATTATATGAATTCTATGAATTTTGTGAATTCTGTCATGTCGGGATCCGAGGTTGACAATTTCCCTCTTCACAATGGACTGCAGGACCGTCTATTTGAGTCGAACAATTAGAGTAATTGTTCGACTAGATATTTTATCCCGGATTTTTTAATACACTCATAAACCTTTTTATAAGCGATAAAGAAAAGTCAGCAGATCAATTCTATTGCTATTAATGAGCAAGATTCGAATTAATCGTTTTTTCAAAAAAATCGACTAACGCTAAGCCAGTTGATAATATAAATCAGCTTAGGTATAGCTGGAAAAAAAGCATAACTAAATGCAAGTAAACAAATCAAAAATATTTACAGTATTATTGACATTTTATCATAACAGAGTTCGAAATCCTTGATAATATTAATATAATATAAAGGTAATAAGTATTGAGTATAGATAAACTTTCATTTGTGAGTTTAACAGCTTATAATGAATGTAATCTACAGTATTTATTTATTGGCTATGCTTTTATTTATTATAGCGTTATGACTTGGTAAGCCATTAAAAAAGAATTATTTAACTCAATTGTTTTTCCTTTTTTATAAAAGAGTGATAGATATCTTTTGTATAATTAAAGTTATCGTCAATTTAATAATAGAAAAGCTCAACTTCAAAATGAATTTTAAACTTTTGTTGGCCTTAACTGTAGTCCTCGCAGTTATATTTTCCTCAACTGTTGCAAGCTCGCCGGTTCTTAAGAGTAATAGTAATTCGTTTTTTTTCTGACTTATATAAAGCTATTTAATATTATGGAAATAAAATAAATTATTATGATAATTTTACTAATATAATTATTCTATATCCAGACAAACGCCAAGGTATTATTATCATAAATTAAAATTTATAGAAAAATCAATTTTTGAATAATTTTATTAACCTCATTATTTTATATCTAGACGAAGAAGGTATTATTAAATCTTTATATATATTTTATAAATTAAATTGAAAATTTATAATCTATAACGATACTAATTATCATAAATAAATAAAACATCTTTAAATTATATATTTTGTAGGTGGATTTTGAATTCTGTGAATTCGGAATGTGACAAATAAGCCTATTTGAGCCGGAACACTATCAATAAATAGATCTCGGATCTAGAACCAACCAAAGAATCAGTTACCGTACCGGAATTTAAAAAGTTAAATATCGAAACTCAGATATTATTGGCATTCCGATAACTGCAATTTCGATTAATACTTATGTCGCATATAAAAAAAATATAAATTGTACCTTTTCTAGTATTGTTTTTAATTCAGTCGTTTTATTTTCAATATTTATGTCACTAGCACTTGAATCATATTCGTTCATGCTCAAATCAACTTCAACTTCATAAATTAAAACGATCCGAGTTGGCACGGATTTTTGGGACCGTATTGGATCGATACCCGTGCCAAATAGACCGTAAATGGCTCGCGTTTTGCAGCAGTTTACTAGTCGAATCGGCACGGGATTTGGCACATAATTTCACGTGCCTCTCTCCAATGGTCATTTTATGGCATATGTAGCGAAGGCGGGGACAATGTCGCATATGGGCAATGGACTAGGAAAACCCGTCTTTGACACTTTTTCAACAATTTTGAGATTTTTGATTCAAATTAAAGTGCT